TTAACGTTAAAACTTTATTTACACTGTGATGGTTAACGTTAAAACTTTATTTACACTGTGATGGTTAACGTTAAAACTTTATTTACAGTCTGATGGTTAACGTTAAACTTTATTTACACTCTGATGTTTAATGTTAAACTTTATTTACACTCTGATGTTTAACGTTAAAACTTTATTTACAGTCTGACGGTTAACGATAAACTTTATTTACACTGTGATGGTTAACGTTAAACTTTATTTACACTGTGATGGTTAACGTTAAACTTTATTTACACTCTGATGGTTAACGTTAAACTGTTATTAAGCCGCGGTTCACATCCATTACACCACTAATAAATATGTTACCAACCATGAATGAATATTAAAGTATTGAAAGCATACTGAACTGAAAACATTCTAAATTGCTCAACGATTGACGAACGTTAACTTGTTTTCTGCACTGACTTGTGAGGCAGACGGGGTTGTCATTCTTGAAGCCGCAGACGGGAACATCTGGAGGTATAACTCCACCCGGCCAGTGCAGCGTTGTTCCAGGTGTGGCAGTCAGCTGCTCCTCTGAGCTGTTGTACACCAAAACTATCTGGAATAAAACAAACGAGACCAAGAATAAGATGACGTAAGCTGTTCGATTTTAGGACTTCAGTTCATGAAAGTCAGAGTATATGCAGATGACGCGCTTCTTTGCCTTTTAAATAATCATTTCACATGCTAAGCTCTGTGGTCGTATCAAATATGTCGTGCATATCGATTTTTTAATGTCTGATATATGTGCAGTTGGCCTATTCCTAAGGCCAGTAAGTAACGTCCTAAATTCTCCAAAAAGAACCTTTAAGTTCTTTGCAAACCGTCTAAGACACATTTGAACATTTTAAGTAAAAGTAACAACTAAGAAATAAATCAACGGGAGATAAGGGACGCACGTCCTGAGCTATTAAAGCACATGTCAGTGTGCACTGGTGTGAAGTATTCAGGTCTCACTAAACTAAATGACTGTCCTGCGAGTAAAAGTCCTGCGATGTGGAACTTCCTGTTGAAGCCGCTATGACTCAGTCATGAAGGAACTGGACGGTATATTTATGCTTAAAAAGAAGAACTGTTTCTTGAGAACAAACGTGTGATTAACATAATCAGCTCATCTCTGCTCGCTGTAGTTCGTTTACATTTTTCCATCACTCAGGCCAAGCCCCGCCCCTAATGTGCTGATTGGCTGGTATTACTGTGCTGTGATTGGCCATCTACACCAGGCGGACTAGTTCACATTCGTGATTCTGTCTCGTGACGTCAGTCTACGCCACTACTTCTTACTGCTCTACAGTTGTAGTTACTTTTCAGATTACGATACCCAGTCATTTAATGTTTGTTTTTGTGTTATTTTTTGGTTAAATTGTTGATTGTTTAGATTTATGCAAGACCAGTTTTTCTTTTAAACTGACAATAAAGGTTTTCTTATATGTTTTTGGTTTGTGACTCCTTTGGTGACTTGAGGATCCAAAGGATCACAGACGAGACAGCACAGACCCAACCATCACACTGACACTGAGACAAGAAGAATGACAGAAAGTGTTAGAACGTGTGAGGGAGGCTATGAAAAGAGAAGGAGGTGTCCAGCTGTGATGGAGGTGTGAAGTCCTGGTCGAGGACAAACTAGATCTCACTCCTCCGACTACCTTTTAACTTCTCCACCGTAGCCTGAGGATATTTTGTGGCTTCACTGTTTCATAAAACTTCTCCTTCATTATTCCATTTTGTTCTTTTTCAGACTTCTTCAACAAACTTAGATGAGATGAAGTGGGTAATAAAACAGTTGTCCTGCGCCTCAGTAATAGTAACACAGGTTAAACTAATGGCGTCGCACTGCAGTAGTAAGATTGTAGTCGGTAACTTAAACTTCCCTTAACTTGAAGTAGCTCAATGCTTTTTCCTGCTTTTTCATATTCATATCAATCCATATGAATCCAAAGAGCTCTGTGCTCTAATGCCTTAACACGATGATGATGTCCACTCGCATTTAAATAAGCAGGCATCACCGTTCACCTGGAATGTGCTGGTGTTGGTGTCGATCATGTCCCACAGAGCGAAGTCCGTCTCTCTGTCTCCGTTCTCGTCCAGGTGGACGAGTCCCGTCACACCTGAGGGACAAGAATGACACACAGATATATATGATGAATATAATGTAATATATAACAATACACACTGTGTCTCAGGTAACAGGTAACCTGTGTAATGTTATCAACTCCTCAAGAGGAGACATGGCATTGGACGATATTAACATTCATATTACCAACAATCATCATTTTATATCTGTCCATCACAAAAAACACTGAGAAACAAGGCATGATTCATTTCACTGAATCGTTTTTATAATGTAATTAAACTGTTTATAGTTTATGTAGAATGTGTGTTATAGATTGTTACAGACTCGCTGATCAAAGCTAAAATAAAATGAAACCATGACTGCGCTGCGTTTATCTTTTTGAGGGTTTTATTGCTAAATAAATTAATTGCACTATTACGTATAGAATGCAAGTTGTTCTTCAGACACAGACATCATTTGAAATAATCTGCTCAACATTCATTCAAATCACTTGTTGTAAACAAACTTCCTGCATTTATTTATTTATTTATAAACAATCAATCAATCGATTAATGGAGGAAACAATCAGCAGATGAATCCATGATGAAAATGATCATTCGTTAATAGTTCAAAATGAGCTCCAGCTCAACAAACCACGAGAGTAAATCCTGCTTTAACATGATGCTTTAGTAATAATACAGTTTGAATACTTTACATCTTACTGTAACAGAGTATTTTCACTCTGTGGTATTAGTACACTTACTGCAGTAAAGGATCTGAATAATGATGCTGATGCATCTTAAGAGGCAACAGGAGGAGAATCACATGCTCACAAAGGAATCACATTTGTTTTGATCAGATCATTTTAAACCTGCAATCTGAGAAGAGAGGACAGAGACGGGGGGGGTCGATGGGGGTCGACTGCACCTCGGACTTGAACATGGGAAAAAATCGAAATAGTCCTAAGAGGTTAATCACAGTCAATTTGAGGGGGGGGGGGGCAGACAGCTCGTCTCCATGGAAACAAGGCAAGTAGAGGTCCGGAGAGAGAGCCAGTGATTGGTTCACACATGTTTAATGTGTGAATGTTTGTAATAACACATAATATATCATATATGCAGTACAATCAAACAATGTAATGAAATGAAAATTAATGCATACGATGATAACACAACAGCTGTTTTATGGCGCTGATAGCATCTCTATGGAAATGCTGGTTTTGTATATTTATTTGGTCTTTTTATTGGGTTTTTATTCTTTGGTTTTAGTCATTCTGTTATTATGTATTATTGTTATTCCGCCAGTGAAGCTGAAGTTAGAGTATAAGATGTAATAATTGTTCTTATTTCTTTTTGATCACATTTTGAATCTTGTTTCAGGAACTAAATCAAAGACCAAGAACACGACCTGAACCAGGTGGGAGAGGAGGTAGAGATGGAATATATATAAAACATATACAGATATATATATTTAAACCTATGGAAGCTGACTGCAACAACACATGTCAAGGTACGGAAGGAAAAAGCCGTTTAACAACCCACAGTAACATTAAAAACATTTGATTCATGAGTTCTTCTCACATGGATTAAGCTTTACATATTGACTCCTCAGGTCAAATAATGCAGTAAACTCTAAATATTATGTAAATATGAATAAATATGTGTTTAAAACACATCAGCTGTGTTCTGCAGAATATCACATTTGGATTTGAAAGCATCACTAAACAAACGGTTTAAACTGAATGAATCAATTAGTCCACTTCATTCATAGCTTGAAGAAGACAAAGGAGACAACATGTATCATATTTTCATTTTGCCATTACCCAGTGAAAACCATCTGTACTGTAAATATATACGTAAATGTATGTTTTCTTCTTTGTAAATATTGTGTATTTTTATTTCGTTTCTTCCTTCAGTGTTTCTATAATCAGTGTCTCCTTATTCTATTTCTATATTTTATTCCTCCGTTTAACTCAGTTATTGTATTCACACATGATCATGAGTGGAGAATAAACATCTACGACTGCATTTCATTGTTGAACTTTTTCTTGTATGATGTGTTTACTTCCTGTCAGCTGATATAAAAAGCACATTAACTTATAATCATGTGAAACGATCAGAGAGACGAATAAAAGATGAGATGGATAGATGATAACATGAAATAAATTCATAACGTATGAGCTGCTTTTGTTCTCACGATGTGTTAAATGGTGATGTCAGGAGGGGGCGGGGTCAGATGATGAGGTGAGGAGCAGCAGGGAGGGGTCTTTATGTTGCAGATATTTAAAGATGAACACACACACACACATTAAACTATGGGATGCCCTTATCATTGACCTGTGAATTTTATGTTACTGGTAAGTGATTCATCACTTTCCAGGAATGTGTGTGTGTGTGTGTGTGTGTGTGGTGAACAAACAAAAGACAAGTGAAGGTTGATATTTACAACAGAAAAAATAAATCATTCATCTGAATCTTTGACTTCTGCTTTCACCAGTGAACAGAGAGAGAGAGAGAGAGAGAGAGAGAGAGAGAGAGAGAGAGAGAGGAAGAGAGCGACAGAGATCTGCTGTTATATTGACGGCCAAAGACCAAGATGGCGATGGTCTCAAACCAAGATGGTGTCAGCCAACAAACCACAGGGGCGTGGTGGTGGACTCTCTAATTGCAGTTCATCACTGGTTTGTGGTGGATGGCTTCAGGTGTACCGCTCAGTCAAATGCTGACACTGTTTGAAGGCGTCAAAAATGTGTTCATGCACATATAAGTGTTTTCTGATTAGACATCCGCCACCAATCAATGTTAAAAGATTACATTTAATTTGCAAAAAAAGACTGATGCTCTCGTCAGTCATGGTGACGTATCTCATTGGTTTGATTTATTCATCACAGAGCTGCTGTAACGTTCATTCATCACAGAGCTGCTGT